AATACGGAGAGGCTCCCATGGGAAGATTCAATGGCATTTATGGCAAAGCAATGCCTTCTTACAGCGCAAACTGTTATTTCGTTATTTGAGTAGCTGTCAAGAATAAAATATGACCTGGAATTGCTGAAAAAAGATTTTGAGGCTTTTGTTCAAAAATACGAAGCTGGATCTACCATTTCCATTAAGGTTTATGCAGAAGCTCTGGCTAAGATGCATATTCCAGACATGCACTCTGATAAAAGTCAAGTTGTTAAAGTTAAAGAAACTGACAAAACTGCGGAACAGTCGAATATATGTATTAATACATTCTTACTCTCTGACAAGGCAAAGAGTGGGGAGATTCATACATACTGAGGCCTCTTTGAATGCTAAAGAAGCAATTCCCTGCAAGTTAAATCATTCATTTCAGACACAACAGATTGCTCTCTGTATCTCCCTGAACAGTCTCAATATTGGATGCTGGGATTCTAAGAGAGCAATTGTAACTTCCCAAGGACAACTTCTTCACTGGCAACACAGAGAGATAGATTTATGTGCTGTTGAATGGCTTCCAAGTGCTCCAAACCAAAACCGGATTCTGTTCTCTTTTAATCAGCTACTATCCCACTGATGCTATTCAAGATGAGATTATATTTAGCATCACTTCAAGTCTTTCTCACCAGAATCTTTTGCGAAGTAAAAGTTAATTCCCTGTTTGGTTCTGTCTCACCTAGATTCCACAACCATTCCAAACTTTACCAGATGCCACCAAGTTTGCCTCTTCCCCAAACCTGGCCTTGAAAAAGCAAGGCTGTGGGAGTCGGCCAGTCTCACTAAATGAAGATGTGTCAGACCTAGCTGAAGCTGACCTTATCTCACATAAGGTCATATGTGATGGATGCTCACATAATCCATCTATTAACTTGGAATATTGCAAGCTGGTCAGGACCATCAAAAGACCAATCTTTCCTAGATTACTTATCATGATTTGATATTCTTTTTTTTACAGGAAACCTGGGCCGCAATCTTGGCTGCCCCAAGTAAAATAGGGAGACCTAAGGGAGGTATCACAACCCTAGCTAGTACAGCTTTACAACTGAATTGTATCCCTCTGCCTTCTTTAAACCCACACCTATCAGCCTCCCTGCTGTCACTCAAACAGGCTGAAATCATACTTTTTAACATCTGCATCCCCCCTTCTAAAACACATGCCCAAACTAACAGCACCTGGGGGCATATAGAAAATGTTATCCTCACTTGCTTAGATACACACCCTGTAGCATCATTAATAATTGGTGGGGATTTAAATGCCAGGATGGGACCAAATGAACATTTCCTATTCCATCAATTTAAGACCTTTCATGAGGAGGATGCACTAGTGGGACCCCTGTACAGTAGAGAATTTAAGGATCTAAAGTTTAATCGGGCAGGATTATGGGTTAGGCAGAGGACTGTTTGGAGCTGTGCATACTCAATGGCTCCCTGGATGGGGATCATCCAGCAGAACATACTGGGGGGCAGGGAGAAGATCAGCAGTTGATTACTGGATCACATCGCGTTATCTCCTAAATGCCCTACAGTGGATGGATGTAGATTCACAGTTAGAAAGTTATCCTCACCCGCTAATACTAACTATGACATCCCTCTGGGAATCAATAAGAACAGAAGCAGTCTACACCCCAATGCTGAAAAATAACAACACAGAGGTACAAATTAAATGGAATGAAAGTAGTGCAAAAGCAGTTCCTAAATGGCTGGTACTCCCAGAAATCTTAGAAATTTGTGCACACTTGTTAGACAACAAGTCTCAAAAACCATACTTAGTGTATGATCTATTAATTTTTAATCTGAAATCTGCTTTTGTGAAAGAAACAAAGCAACACTGCAGTAACTAGGGTGTACAACATAAAAAATGGTTTAATCAGGACTGTGCACAGCTGAAAAGGTCATATCATACCACATATAGAAAGAGTAAACATTTTCCTTTTGTGGACCAACTACTTTCCCTACAGAATTTAAAGGCTCAGTACAAGGCCCTCCTAAAAGAAAAGAAAAGTTTGGCAGTGAAGGAGACCTGGCAGAAACTAATTCAGTCAGTCAGGAAGTGGATTCTTCCCTCTTCTGGCAAACTACCATAAGACTAGGAAAACCGCTGTCCCCCCCTCCCCCTTCAAGTACTAATTCAAGCCTGGGGAGGAGTATTTTAGAGGGTTGTACATGAATCCTGCTAGTAACATAAATGAGAGTGAGGCCAACCTGGACCAAATTCAGAATTGGCCCCCTGTCTTTGTGCAACAGGTAACCCAATTGATTGAATCCCTTAAGGTGAACAAGGCTCCAGGTATTGATTGTGTTTTGCTTGAAATAATTAAAAAGAATCCCAGCTGGGGGGCGCCTCTGCTAGCATCCCTATTTACATTCATAGATCAGACTGGTCATGTTTCAAAAGATTGGGGGCTGGCAGTAATCGCCCCAATTTATAAAAAGGGCAGTAAGAATGATCCATTCAATTACAGGCCTATCAGCCTTTTGAGTGTTGTTAGCAAATTATATGACAAACATTTAAAGCACAAGCACCAAGACTAGATAGAGACAGAGGGCATAATCCAAGATGAGCATGCAGGATTCAGAGAAGGGAGGTGAACAGCAGACCACATTCTGATGTTCCACCATCTTGCACAAAAATATACTCATAAAAAGAAATCCTCCCTCTTTGTATCCTTTCTAGATTTTAAACATACCTTTGACTCAATTTCCAAGAATGCCCTTTGGGAGAAATTAAAAACACAACTATTGACAGGCTCCTCCTCTTATTCTTAATTGTCATCAACTGTTGGGATTTGTACCTTGTATATGCAGAGTTTCTAATACTGGCAACCTATCATGACAAAGCACTATAAGACTCAATCTGATGACCAGTTTTAACCTTAAGGGGCGAAATGCCATGGCCTTGTTGGCCAAAGCAATGTATATTGTTGTTCTTTGTCAAAATATTTCCACCCAGGGAGAAGGGTTACCTTAATCATCTTCCTGATACATTAGCTATTTATGGCCTGCACGTAATGCAGAATATGAATTATTATTATGCCTACCTCTACTCCCCACACATTTTTCAAATCTGTGTGAAAGATCCTCCAGCTTTTCAGATCAGACTTTTTAGGGAGGGGGGAAGAAGAGCCAGAGGACTCCATAGTGTGGACATATGCTGTTCCATCCATGGATAGGGGTGCCACTGCATCCAACTGTATATGCAGGAAAGCTTTTGAAAAATGGAAAAGCCTTCCTGATTGTATTATATAATCCCAGGAACCTGTATTCTTCAGCCCCATGTTCAACAAATGCATTTGTTTGAATATAGTAATGAGAATAAAATATGAATTATTTTAAGATTACTTTCTCATTTTCCCTGGAATATTAAGGTGTTCTGTTGTTAAGTACAGCTACTTTAAGATAAACAGGTCAGTGCTTACATTTGGGAAAGAAATCTAGCCAAGGCAATTGCAATGAATCTGGCCTTGCTTGATTCTGTCTTTTCTTATTCCATGTTATTGGGACAACTGAAATATTGTAAAGAAAATGCATGATGCACAGTGGTGGGTTATAAATGAGAGCCATGGAGTTATGTATGGGAAGTAAACAAACAAGCAAGCTAGAAGGAAATTGTTGCGGATCAGGGTGAACATGCCTCCTTAACTAATTAATGATGAACTACCACTTCTTCCTGTATTTCAGCCCAAATGATCTCCAAATCTACAGTTTATTATTTGAAAGGAGGAACATTACAAGTTGCCCTTCAGTTACCGGCAGAGCCCAGTCAGTTTTTAGCTCCTTATTGATAGAAGAGATAACTTGAATGATACATGGGAGAACAAATACGTTGTTATAATTTTAATAATTAAATGTTGATTGAAATTTAATTAGATTTGCATTTACTTTAAATGAAATGAAATTTAGCCTTTGCTTTGGCTCCACCTACATTTTGGAGTGCACTCCCTGGTACAATACTTAAGGCTAAGGGTAATCCTTGTCCCAGAAAACATTTTACAGTGTTGGTCTACTGAGTTGATAGAGTCTAGAATATAATGAAAAGTTAGCACTTTTTTTTTTCACTGTCACAGTAAAATTAACAGGTGATCCTAAGATAATTTTCTCCCTTTTAAACATTATTGCTTTACTAGTCTGGACTAATAAATAGAGGGCTGTACGCTTAATCTTGAGTCTTTGGCAACAAATTTTAACTTCCAGCTGCTGGAGAGCAGCAGTGTAAGAGAACTATTGCGCTTCTATCCAAGAATGAACGTTCTTTGGGGGCATCTTAGTTGGCCACTGAGTGTGTGCATTGGATAGGCCTGCAGTTATTCTTAAACTCTTGTGAACTTAAGGTCCATTTAAGTCAAAATAAGGGAACTTGTGGAACAGAGTTGTTTATTATTGATACTAGGTTATAGACCTCCATCAGTTACTGTGCACTAGCATGTCTTCACAATATGGCTGATTATTTCGTTACTTTTTAATAATAACAACAAAACAAACAAATACTACAAGCAGTAATAGGCTGGCTCCAGGTTTGAGGGGGGCCCTGAGTAAGGTGTCTTCCGGTGGCTCACTTAGTATGATGGTGAACCCTGATAGGCTTATCTGGTACATTCCTACAGCAGCGTGGTGGACAACTGGTCTTGACACCATTTTAAAATTATGCAATGTTGCCCTAAGTAGCATTGCATTATAGGAGATTTCAATTATGGCTCAACCAATCATCCAATGCTACTTGGAGTCTTAAGGCAGAAAAAAGGGATATCAAGGTGTCACAATATACCTGTCAATGTGCTACAGGTTTGGTGGTTGGCCAAGGATGGGCTGTCTTATGGACACTGTATTGGAAATACAGTGGAAGATAAGATGTCCCCTATGCCATCAGTCCTATTGGAGAGAGATGCTCATAAGTGCTCACCTTACTTCATGGTTGTACCTTTTGTTATGGCACAGCAAAGTCTTCTGTTAATCTAGACTATTCATTGCAGTACTGAGGGGAGGACCACTGCCGGGGATATACCGGCTCCGTCAGCTTCACATCCACTGGGGTTCTACGAATGACAAAGGCTCAGAGCATGTGGTGGATGCAAAAAGGCATGCAGGAGAGGTGAGTAGGTTTCTGCAGGAAATACTGGAAGATTTCCTCCCCTTGCCAGTAGAAAACCAGGCGCAAATAGCCTAATGAAGTCTTAGCAGGGATGGGGAACCAGTTGCCCTCTAGACGTAGATGAACTGCAGCTTCCATCAGGTTCCATCAAGGTCCATGGTCAGTGGCCAAAGATACAGGAGATTAAGTTTAACCATATTTTCATATGTGCTTTCAGTGTTGACATTTTTTAAATCTTTGAATTACTGAATTTGTCCTGTGCAAATGAACAAGTTATCCTTCTGGTGAAAAAATAATAATTCAAGGTTTGAATCAAATCTCTAGTTGACAACAAGAGTATAGATGGCAGGGTAATAGGGCTGGACTTCAGTTTGACAGTCCAGGTCTGTTCTTTCCAAGAATCCCAAATGACCAGAGAATGTAAGGTGATTGGGATGATAGCATCAATATCTGGGTCAGCATACAGATGAGGATCCATTAGGAAAATACTGGTTGATGCAGCATTCTTGTTCTTTTTTAAAATGAAAATGGGGATTGGCTGGGCACCTGCAATTATACATGTGCCCATTGGCTGGCCACAGGTATATGCATGTAGATACGTATGCATTTATTCACAAAAGATGTCCTGTCTCAAGTTACTTATGCACTTTAGGCAATAAGACCATTTAATCCAAAGTTTAAATTATTTAGTTGCGTCAGTGGATGCCGGATAAACTCTGGAAAATTTAAATGAGAACCCTTTCATCTTTCTGAAGTTTTCTTCCTCAGGAACCCTCAGATTTTTGGAGAGCAAGAAGGCATATAATACAATATTATATAATTATATATTATATGAAATAAAATGCTCTTGTCAACACTCTGGAATGAGAGTAAGCAGAATATGTAACATGTAAAAGAGCTGATATATACTTGTATGTCAGTCATTACAAGTTGATATGTGGTATCTACATAAATGTTGAAAGCACCATTAATAGGAATTTTTATAGTATTTTGGTTTTATCCTGAAGACAATTAAAACATGGGTTTTCAATATATTTTACATGCCTTAACAGAGTAGTGTCTTCCAGAGGTGTTTGATGACACTTTCATAAGTTCCAGTCAGCTATTCACATTGGCTTGGAATGGATATTATAGTCTGGAAGATGCTCATTTGGAGAAAAATGGCAGTTTCAAAACCACTTTATGTAAATTTGCCAGTTTCGTGTATTCTTACCTTTTGATTCTATCATTTTCAATATTTTTTTCTAAAGGAACAAAAAATGAGAATCCAGTGTATATGTTTCTAATTTTTAACATCTTTTTAATGTTTGAATTGATTCTCATTTGTCACCCAGTAGTAAGATTCATACAGCTAACAGGGAATGAAGAGAATTTTATGAAATTTCAGGGAGTTCCATTAAGGCATGATTTGATATCTAACTATAATGCTTTCTTTGCTTTTAGATACATTTGGTACACTGGTATTCCAAGTATAGTAATTATGCTGATGCCTTGAGAAAAACCGATGGTGTGGCTACTATAGCCATTCTAATGCAAGTAAGTTCTGATCGCTATTTTCTTATGCATATTTTCATAGTTATCTTCAGCCATGGCTCCAGAAATCATGTCTGTTTTGGTCAATGATGCAATTTGTTCCTCACCATGCACCACATCGCTTTCTTCATGCTGCTATGGCATCTCAATGTACAGGGTGTGGACACCTATCCTCCATCTTCCACTACCCTCCCATCAATACACTACACTAATGGACTGATATACTTTCTTATCTTTCTTCTTCCTAATTAAGCTTGAGGAAAAAGTTCACTGTAGTACTGACAGTTTCCCTCTAATACATGAAAGTGTAAGTAGTTATTACTGTTCCATCTTTTTTGCACCATTAAAACATAGTTACAGTCATGCTCCTATATTTATGTTTTTAGTAGTCCTGTAGCTGTTTCTTTGGATGAAAACTTGACGGAACTCAAATTACTGACTGAAAAGAAAGAGATAGATTGTACTGCATTATACACATAGAGCTGCACATCTATCAAATCCCAGAAATACTAGCATGTTTCTTCTTTCTCTTCCTCCTCCTCTTCTTCTAGAATTATTGATTTATTTTAATTTAATAGTATTTTTAGGTAGTTCCAATCCACATAGACTCTTTGTGCTGTTTGCTAGTTGAAAATACCATAATGTTTAAAAAGGAATCTGTAATAACACTCGACTGTGATGACTATCCAAAGAAAACTGCAGGCCCAAAATTCACCGGAAACTCATTGCTTTAATTTGCTTCCTGAAAATAAGGAGGATTGGTGGTGTTGAGTTTAGTGGGGAGCACATGCCTTTTTTCATGTCTTTGTACTAGATATGAACTTACTGTTTTATAAACAGTATAAACTGTTTATCAACAGTATAATGTTTTATTAACCGTTTTGCTACAATTTAAGGCAACAATACATACAGTGCATTATTAACAATTAACACTGTACTTTAGGTGCACGATAGAAGATTCTTCTTGGGATTTTGAAGGAAACCTGTACAAATCTTGGTCAGAGTGTTTAAGATTTTAGAGAGGCCTCCTCCAAGCTGGTGGCCTCTGCGTGTTGACTTTGAGATCCCCAGCTAGCATGAAAAAGGGCCATGTTGACTGGGGATTATGGAAATTCATTCAACATATCTGGAAAGCATCAGAAAAGCTGCCTTAGAACCTGGGAAGCTGGCTTGGACAGTATAGAGAAGCTACATTGACCATTAGGTCAGCTTTCCCTAACCTGATACCAGTAAGATGTGTTAAAGTACATCTCCCATTATTCCCAGCCAGTTTGGCCAAAAATAACAAGAACCATAATGGCTGAAGACAACAGGACCTGTAATCCAATGTAGCTGGAGAGTACCAGTTAGTCAAAGTCTGATTTCTGGATGTTTTCAATTATTTTCATTTTCAGCACCACTACCAAAATGTTTTCAGAACTCCAGAAACACTCACTGAAATTAAAACCATACCACACTCATGCAAAAGAGAGCATCATTAAGTGACACAAACCAGTCAGGCAAATGTTACTCTCTTTTTGTTTTTATACCTAGTATTATTGGTAGGGGTTGGAAGATATTCTCCAAATGTTGCTAATTAAATGGACAGATGGGATAGTTAACAATTCATTGTGCATACTGTTGTAATTTGGGAGATAATTGCCTTTCATAGCTGCTCACTGTCTGTTTTCTGCATGACAGGTAGGGAAAAACCCTAAGCCAGAGATGAAAAGAATTATTGAAGAAATAGATGGTATTAAAACAAAGGTATGTAGAAGAATATTCTAGTCAATACCAAGTTTTCTAACACAGTTCATTAAGAGGAGCCAACAGACTTAGATAATGCATAGAATGTATGATTTTATTAACATATACCAAGCTATAGTACGCATAACTGTGACTTGTTGAATAAGACACAGTTGGCTGGCTTTACATATCATACTAAGCATAAGTCTTGCTTATAATATAAAGCTCAATGACTGTATTTACACATCATGCGAAGCAGTAGCAAGTGAACAATACTATGGTTATGAGTGATATGTGAATCTTCTCTGTGACAACTAACAACTGAGTCTTGAGAACCAGCAAGAAACATGTAGACAACAGGAACATCAGGACAAATGTTTAAAGAAAACAAGTTTTTAAAGAAACATTTTCTTTAAATGTTTAAAGAAAACAAATTAACAAATCTTTAAAGAAAAAAGAAAAGCTGACAGCTTATCAGAGTACCTGGAGCCCATGGGAAGTTTAATGAGAGCGGAGGAAATATGAGATTACTTAAAGTAAGGTTTTCCAGACACAGCTGTCTCATTTCAGAGGCAAACCTTCTCAGTTGATGTTGCTCATGAGATTCTCTTTATTGCCTTTAAATTGAAAGTTGGGATTTTTTTGGTCATATTCTCTCAGAAGAAGCAGTTTGGACTAATATTTCATTTTTATTATGGATCCAGATTTTGAACTACTTGGGGACACTTACTAAAATCAGTGGAGACTTACTAAAATCAGGACATCTACTGTTCAGTAAATCTGAAATAGCTTTTGACTTACCGTAGATATTAGAATCAAAAGTACTATTAGCTTTATTTTCCCATGAACTCAGCTACACCTTGAGGCTATCTACACCAACTATCATCATCATCTAGCCATCACAATTGTTTCATATCAGTAAAGGACACAGTGATGGCTACTTGATGCTATAAATCACTACTGTGAAGAGCCGCCTTGTCTCTGCCACTGAATTTAATTATGTTATTTCTCATTTATTTAAGGGGAAAGAGGTTCCTTTTCAAAACTTTGATCCATCTATCCTCTTCCCTCAAAATCGGAATTACTACAGTTATCAAGGCTCTTTTACAACGCCTCCTTGTGAAGAGTGTGTTACCTGGATTCTTCTGAAAGAGCCAATAGTTGTTGATGAGCACCAGGTAAATTAGAAATTAGTACAGTCATTTCTTTTTGTATGCATTTCATGTAAGTTTAAATGTGTTTTATGTTCTCATACTTACTAATAAGCAGCACAATAAATCATATACATGATTCAGATACATTGTGCTGCTGTATACATGGGAAACCCTGGACATTTCTGAAGCAAATGAATAAGAGGGACAAGCAATGGCCTAAGAGCATTTTGTAGCATCATAGAATTGTGGAGTTAGAAGCGTCCATGAGACTCATATTGTCCACTCTTCTGCAAGTGGTAAGAAAACCAATTAAACCATCCTCAAAAAGCTGCCTCTTTTTAAACAACGCAACCTCAATAGATAGACTATTCCATCATGGTATAGATCTTAGCATCAGGAAGTATTTCCTTATAATTGTGAAATCTAGGCAGCTACAACTTGAACTCATTATTTCTGATCCAGTTTGTATGGAAAATAGTTCCTGACCACTTTTTCTATGCCATCTTTTAATGTACCTGAACACTGACATCATGTCTCCCCTTAGTCTTTTTTTTTTTCTGCCAGACCAAACATTTCAAGTTCCTTTAGCTTGTCCTCATAGGACATGTCCTCAAGTTCCTCTGTCATCTTTGAGGACCTTCTCTGGACCTGTCTTAATTTGTCAGTTTCCTTCTGGAAAGGCAGTGGTCAGAATTTTACACAGAACTCCAGGTGTGGCTTCAACAGCACAGAATGGGGAGGAATAAGGACTTCATGTGTTTTTGATACAAAGGTTTTTACGGTGCAGCCCAAAACTGCATTAGCCTTTTAAAAATTTTATTTATTTATTTATATATCACATTTATATAGCCGCCTATCTCACACAAGCGATTCTGGGTGGCATACAACAATTAAATTAAATAACAAATAGATAAAAACAATAATTATAAAAGATAAAAAGTGATTATTAAAATACAACATCATCCAAAAGTTTAAAAATTTTAAATTTTAAAATATACAAACCCCACTGAGAGAATATTAATTATAGTGGAGCCATCTAAGAATGTCTCCGGTTCCCAAAGAGCCCCAAGCCTGATGACATAACCAGGCCTTGAAGGACTTCCTAAACAACAGCAGGGAAAGGGCAAGCTTCACTTCAGGGGGGAGAATGTTCCACAAGGAGGGAGCCACAGCAGAGAAGGCCCACCGTGGGACATCCCTCAAGCAGGGGTGTAAAACAATTCCACTATGAAGTCATGGGAGTGATCTGCTCCTAGTTGACTTTTCGCCATTAAATGAATTCTAGTTAAAACCTTTTTTGTCCAATAAAAAATCTGCTCGGAGACAGGCAATTATACTTACTTTATGATGCTGCAAGGTGGCTGAGGGGAAGGGATCTTATTTTTCAAGAAAATGGAGTAGGCTCCTCTCCAAGAGGCTCCATGTTTACTGGTGCTTATCAAACTGGCCAAGTGATCACATGGCATTAAAGCTCAGATGGGCATTCCAGGAAGCAGTGCTGCCATGAGGAGATTTGTATCAGAGCCCAAGCTCCTTCCTTGCAGCAATGAGAGATCTCCTGATATCTCCTCTGGATCAGTGCTATCTTTCTGGAATGCCTATGTTACCTTTACATGAGCCCTTCAGGGAAAAGCTCTATACTATTTACATGTTTAAAAAATGATCAAGAAGCCTCAAGACCCCTCAGCTACCTTATAAACATAAAGTTCAACCTCACCTTAAACCAGTACAACCATGTTTTTTCAAAGAGAAAAACAGTTTTTGTTTTTTTTTGAAAAATGGACTTAATAAAGTCTGCATATCTTGAGTCTTGAATTTTAATTCAGACTCATAAAAGTGGTTGGCAATTTCAGTCTTCCCAACAGATAAAATAGAGTTGTTTCATTTAAACATTGACCCTATCCTTTATCTTTACCAATTCTATTAAAGAAGCAGTCAGAAGAAAGAATCATATTCCTTTTTCCTAGTGTGTTACTTAAACTTTATTTCATTTTTTAATTTCCTATTTTCTGGTTAAACTTTTCCTGAAAATGCAAAATACTAATGTGCTTTGCTTAAGTTACTTGGGTCAGCAACCAAATCCTTAATAAGGCTTCCCATTCCAGTCCCTATGCCCATTTACACAGAATTAAATTCTTTTGGCTTTAACTGAAGCCATTTTCAAAATGGCTGCAGTCTAGAGTAATGGTTCAGTCATAAATAAAGAGGGCTAAACTTGTTCTTCTTGATTTGCAATCATCTAGTAAAAATTGGGCAAATACACATGTCCTTGTATTCTTGCAGGGAGTTCTTTGATCAGTTGTAATAATCACAGATTTGTTTATGTTATCTTCATTCTTCTAAGACTTTCAGAAGGTCATAAAACAAATTGGGATAAGATATTCAGAATAGCAATGTGAAACATTCATCAGAAAAGAGTTTGCAATGATTAGCTATTTCAACTGTGGTAGGTCCTGAAACTACTTGAGAAGAGTATAATCTAGAATAGATCACTGGCTAGCTATAGAATGTCTAAAAATTGAATCAAACAGGTAAGAGATCATTCCTACCTGGGTGAGAGGTTCACTAGAAAGCAGAACTGGTAGAATGTGTTCTTCAACAACCATTGCATTTCATCTTTTACCTTGAACAGCCTCTGGCAGCTTTTTAAAGGAAATTATCATTCCAGTATCCTTTGAATGTTTTTTAAATCATTCGTAACTAAAATGGTCTTAGGAACCTCTCCTTTATTTTTCCTTTTTGTAGATGTCAAAGCTGCGTAGCCTTTCTAGCAATAGTGCAGAAGAACCTCATTGCCCTTTAGTGGACAACTGGCGGCCTCTTCAGCCTCTCAACAACAGGATGATACGAACAACATGTCAATAGAATCTTTACTGGAGTTGCTGTCTTGAGTCACAAAGACCTTTTACACTCATGTTGTATATAGGGTTGTTTTTCCTCCAGATCTATGCTGTTGAGCCAGAAATTTTAAGCAATGAAGCAGGACAAATTACTAAATGAATCTAACTTCTGGAGGAAGAAAAAAATAATTATAGGAAACTTTAACTTCTATATTGATATGCTGGACCTGTCTCTTAAGATGTCATATGCTACTCCATGATCTTACAGAGATAGAACAGCTTGCACCCGATGCTTCCTTGCTCAGCCTTACTCATTTGGTTGCTTTGCCAACAGATTGGCTAAACCATTCTCTGCAACCAGGTGTCTTTTCCATGTGTGGGGACTGCAGCTAACAGACATCTGAAAACTGCAGTTATAATGAGTCTAAGAAGCCAGAACGAAAAACCAGGTCTTGTTCTTAACCTCAGATTCTGGCTTATGAATATTGCAAAAAGCCAGGGATCTGACATAATGATAAAAGTTTGTGATTTGTTTAGCCATTCCTGCTGGTAGGAGAAGCCATCAAGCAGGGTATATTGATGCATTTGCTCCATCTCTATAATTTCCCCATATTATGGTGATAAATGAACTAGCTTTATGTAATCTTGAAATATTTCCTTCCCCCCCTTCTTAATTTTCTTAATTTAAATATTCTTAATTTAAAACTGGCCAAATTCTACTGTCTTTTATACCAGTTGAAATTGGGGAGAAGAGGGTTTTTCTCAGTAATAATCCTGTATGACTTCTAAAGGTCGTAGAAAAAAAATAACATTCAAATTCTATTCTTATACTTAATTTCTCTGAAAGGCCTATTGATTTTAGGGGAACTGACTTTTGAGCAAACAAATGCTGTTAAATAATAGAAAAGAAAATCCGCCAGCATATTAATACATTTACAGTATTTATTTATCCTTCTTGAAATATAAATGAAGATGTTCAAACAGAATAGAGGACAGGATATAGAATTCATATTTCATCATATAATTCTGTAACTTTATTTCATGCCAATGACTACAAGTAATTCAAGCACCTTGGATTTTGCTTAATATGAAGATAATCTCAGTGAATCGAAAGCAAATAATTTTCTTGAAAGGGAAAACAAAAACTATGATGTATTCAATGTTTAGTTGTGCTGTATTGTTCTGTAACATCCCCAAAAGTAATATTCTGATCTTATCCTGATTTGATTATTTAGTCATTCATTTTGTGGCAGTGCAGAGTGTGCCTTATATTCAGAATTGCTGTTACAAATGGGATGAAATTTCATGATGCAATCAGATTTTGATGGGCATCTAATTTTAGATTTGAAACCAGTTTTGAAATGGAAATATAAAATAAATTCAGGCTTTTCAATGTCAGCATTACATTTTTGAAATAAACTTTTGTATCTCCTATGTATATATAATCAGTAACTTAGAAGCCCCAGAGTATTTTCTTCCTATTTTAAATATTGATTAGTGGATTTTTTTCTTCCAAATTAAAAAAAAAATCCAATTTGTATTAAAATTGTATCAGTTAACATTTCTAAACATACTTCTTAAAATTTCAGATTGTGAAAAACATTTTTTTAAAGATATGAGGAAAGCAATAGTTGGGGAGGTGTCTGTCACCTGAGGATTACTAATAAAATATTGGCCTGAGTTGTTTTTCCTTCTTGCTTTGGATTCTGCTTTGCAAGAAAAACAATTCAAACTGATGGCAATGTATTTGCTTTTGTAAAAGAGCAAAAAATAAATCTATTTATCTCAGAAGCAAAATTTTCAGATTCTTTTTTCCTGATCTCATAATTTGGAGTGGTGACAAAAAGAATACTTGCTCTTTTTTATTTGAATAGATTGATTTTTAAATAATTTTAGTGTCCACCATCAATTTCAATATCAGACAGATAGCCATGGTCATGGACTATTCTAAAAACAAAAAAGGAAAACCGAAAGGTCACAAGATAATTGTATATGTGTTAGCCTTTTATAATTGTCCCTACTTGTTTACTGTATATTTTACCTGATAGGATGGTTTCATCTTTTTTAGTAAGTTAAATATCTAAGAAATGTCCTTCTGAATACTGCCTGTCAGATTCCTTCCACAGGTGAGGAGAAATTATTCTAAAGTTTAATTCATTCAAATATTAATGCTCCTTTTTATGATTTGTGCTCATGTCATTGTCCTGTTTGCTAAGGGTGCAGAAGCCTCATTACAGTTAAGATTGCCACATAGCTAGGAACAAAAAAACACACCTAGCCTGGTAAGTTTGGAGTTTATCACATCTAAATCTCTGCCTTCAACTCTCAACAACAAAAACAGGATTATCAATTGCCTCCTTTTAAATCAAGAAATATACAGAACATACAGCAGAGCACACCATGAAGATTTCTGCATCTTCCAATTTCTATTGTTGGTGTGGGTTTTATAATGATTACAGTGAATACTTCTCCTGAAGGTATTCCACTGATTGTTTCTAAATGCAATAAAAAGTTCATTTTTTTCAACAAATATTCATTCCTTGCCACAGACCATACAGTATATTACCCTCTATCCTTCTACCAGCATTGGCATATCTCAGATTTTCTCATTAATGTTCTACCAAGCTCCACAAATTTATCTTCTTACTCTATTTTACCTCACATATCTATAACTTGCAACTGTTCACTCCATTTTTCCTCTCAAATACAACTACCTCAGGTTTTTCAATTTTCAGATCTATACTCACAGTCATATCATTCAATCTAACATTTGCTGCAAATAATTTTGGTCAATCACATATTCACATGCGAGAGTATACATGCACTCATGATCCCCACCAACTCACTTCTAACTTCACCAAAAGCATACATTTATTTATAAATATATGAAAGAACCAGTGGACATTATACATCCTTAACTTACCCCCTATTTAGCATTGTACCATTCACTAATCATTCAATTTATTCTCACCCATGCTTTGCTTCCATCCTATACCCTTCTTATCACATTTAGCAACCAAACTTCAACTTCATTTTTGCTGAAAATACCTTATGAGTCAAGCCTATTCACTATATCACATGCTTTTTCTAAATCAACAAACATAAATAAACTTCCTCACACCTATACATTTTTATAACTTGATTAAGAACTTCCCAAATTTTGCTAACTATCACCTCTTCTACTCTTTCAAACACAATTCTGCTAAACAAATTCTCCTGTAGGTTTTGCATTCACTATTGCTACATTTTCATTTGCATATGGGAACAAAATCAAGCATCTTCCAAGCATCAAGCAGAAGGGTGGCCATTGAAACCTGTTTGAAAACTTTAGTTGTTATAGGCAGACTCTTAAACTCTAAACAGAGCTTACAATCAGGAAAATCCTCAGCATATTCTGTCTGAATATTCTCTCCCCCCCCCCTCCCAAATTCAACCCACTGGTCCTTGTCTTGCTCACAGTTTCAGAAGAGAGGAGATCCACCCTCCCTTGTATATATATTTTATATATTTATTAACTACTATCATATTTCCTATTAAGCTTATTTTTATGAGGTAAATATACCTAGCCCTTTAACTTTTCCTCATAGGACTTGATCGCCCGACTTGTTATCATCTTAACTTCTCCATGTTCCTTTTAAAAGGTGCTGCCACACTGCACTCTTAATGCAGACGAACCAAGACAGAGTACACCGCTATATCCTGCAGTGTGGATACAAAACTTAATATAGGCCCATTTTGCATTGGCCTTTAAGCTGCTGCGTCTCACAGCACACTCATATCCACTGGTGGCCCATTAGTACTCCTAGATCTTTCTTACATGCACAGCTATTAAGGCAGGTCTCTCCAATCCTACACTTACACATTTGACGTAGGACCTTAGCCTTGTCAGAGTTCACTATCATCCTTGTGGATATGATTGAATGCTCCTGCATCTCAATGTCCTTCTGAATTGAGATATTGTCCTCTAAGGTATTACCCAATCTGCCTAGCTTGGTTCCATCTGCCAATCTGATAAGCACCTGTTGTGGCAAAATATTAAAGAAGCCAACAACTGGAGCTGGTCCAAACAATTGTTTATAAGCTTAAAGCTAGCATATTACAGTGAGTCACTAGTCTCTTGGACCTGAACAAGCCAAGAGCAAGAGCCACAAGGTTCTTATATGGAATGTAGATCAAAGATCATTTGAGAACATGTACACACTACAGAAGATCCCAAACAGAGAAAAAATTGCTTTACAACTGATAAACAAGATAACCACAAAGGAAGACATGTATGTTTCCTGATGTGAAAACATTACAAACACTTTCCTTGAAATATAGTATAACAGCTTTGATCAAGGACTTACGCTAAGGCTGTAATTGCTATTCTGACAAGCATTCCCTGTGCTTCACTGCAGAAGAAAGAGAGATAAGGAAATGCCTTGACTGTGCTGCCTCCTCTCAAGGTGTGAAGTCTGAAATCAGTTAGTAGGCACAGATGGGCACAATAATAAAAAAAATCCATTGTTAAGAATGATATATGAGAGATACAGCAAAAGAATGTATAAAAATAGATAAGACATACTATAGATAGATATACAATGCTACATTTATATAAGTAAGCATAAGAAAAGTTTCAAAACCGATTCAACCTGAGTTCTTATTCCAACCCACCACACATCCCTTCCATTCCATCATCTTGATCAATTTATAAAGATGATGAATAACAGTAGCCAAGGACAAAGTCCTGGAGAATCCCTCTCTCCTTTCCTCTAGGACAATGCAGAAATATCAAAAGCAACATTTGTCTGTAGTTATTCAACCAGCTGCAACTCTACAGGACTGCAATACTGTCCAATCCACATTAATCTATCTTGCTACAAGGGCATGAGCGATCTTGTCAGAAGCTTTACTGAGATCAAGAGACACTCCATCCACAACAGCTCCTTGGTCTACCAAAACAGTCCCTCTATTGTAATAAGAGATAAGGTTAGTCTGATACAATTTGTTCTTGACATGCTGTCTCCTGACTATGGAACCATTATTCTTCTAGGTCCTCATAGCTCTGCTATTTGACAATCTGCTCTAATTCCTTATCCCATAAAGATGCTAAACTGTTTTTGTTTAAGGTAGCAAGGTGGATGT